GGAGCTGGTTCCAGGTCATAGGTGGATTTGAAAATTTTCTGATTGGCAGTTGGTTGAAATAGTTTATCTAAAGACCTGGAATCAATAGGAGGAAGTGTTTGGGTTAAGATAAGGGGCCATGTATAACTTAGGGATAAGCAGTCAGAAAAGAAATAAAATTTAGCCCAGGCATGGTGGCTCATACTTGTAATACCAGCACTTTGGGAGGCCGAGGCAGGTGGATCACCTGAGGTCAGGAGTTTGAAAACAGCCTGGCCAACATGGAGAAAACCTGTCTCTCCCCAAAAATACAAAAACTAGCTGGGAGTGGTGGTGGGTGCCTGTAATCCCAGCTACTCGGGAGGCTGAGGCAGGAAAATCGGCTGAGCCTGGGAAGGCAGCGGTTGCAGTGAGCCGAGATCTTGCCACTGCACTCCGGCCTGGGCAACAGAGTGAGACTCGTCTTAAGAAAAGAAAAAAAAAAAGGAATATTTTTAAAAACAGATAATGAGTTATGGAGACCAAGGTTCTTACTATGTAGATGAAGCCTCCAGGTAGCAGGCTTCAGAGAGAATAAATGGTAAATGTTTTTTATCAGACTTTAAAAGATGCCAGACTCTTAGTTAATTCTCTCCTGGATCAGGGAAGAGACTTGGAAAGGGAAGGGGATTCTCTACAGCAGGGGTCCTCCAACCCCTAGACTGTTTCGGGTGCATGGCCTGTTAGGAACAGGGCCACAAAGCAGAAGGTGAGTGTCAGGCAGTGAGCATTACTGCCTGAGTTCCACCCCCTGTCAGATCAACGGTGGCATTAGATTCTCATAGGAGTGAAAACCCTATTGTGAACTGTGTATGTGAGGGATCTAGGTTGTGCAGTCCTTATGAGAATCTAACTAATGCCTGATAATCTGAGGTGGAACAGTTTCATCCCAAAACCGTCCCCACCCACCCCCATCTGTGGAAAAACTGTCTTCCAGGAAACCAGTCTCTGGTGCCAAAAAAGTTGGGGACTGCTGCTCTACAGAATGTAGATGTTCCCCACAAGAGACAGTTTGCAAGGCCATTTCAAAACATGTCAAATAAATATATTTTGGAGAAAAAGTACTTTGAATTCTTTCAGAGCCTGCTATCTGTCAAGTTGGTATCTTATTGCTACAATCTCTTTCCTCAGTCCTAAGGTCTGTTTTCTTGTTAATGCTGGTCATCTGTGCCTGAATTTTTTTTTGAGATGGAGTCTTCCTCTGTTGCCCAGGCTGGAGTGCAGTGACACAATCTTGGCTTACTGCAACCTCTGCCTCCTAGGTTCAAGCGAGTCTCCCTGCCTCAACCTCCCGTGTAGCTGGGATTACAGGTGCCCACCACCACACCTGGCTAATTTTTGTATTTTGAGTAGAGATGGGGTTTTGCCATGTTGGCCAGCTGGTCTTAACCTCAGGTGATCCACCTGCCTTGGCCACCATAAGTGCTGGGATTACAGGTGTGAGCCACCACACCCAGCCTGAATTTTAAAGTGAGGAGAATATAATGAGGCATGTTCAACCATCCATTCCCATCATGCCCGGTACTAGTGTTTCAGGCTGACTTTGGAATGCCTTTGGCAAAGAAGAGGTGACCATTCAGTTAGTTGGGAGGCTTAAAATTTTATTTTTGGTTCATAGCCTCTCTAGGCATAGCTTTGTCTAAAGTAAACTTTTTGGCCATGTAAAAGTAATAGTTCAAACTCGAGATGAATTTAAGAAGGGGTCTTTATCATTGGTTATTACTAATCTTGAATCACAGAAAGAACAAGTGAGTTTGAAAGGCCTGATTTCTTAGAATTAGTCATGTTCTTCATAGATTTCATTAAAGACTCTTAACTTTGTTTGTATGATGACTATTTTCTCCTCTGTAAGAGGGAAACCCAGGTTTATGACATGGACTTTCTTTAGCCACTGCTAAAGATTGGGGTATGAAGTATGTTTCTTATTTCCTCTTTTGTATTAATAGTTGGTTCTTTTCAAATCCTCTGAGGGGCAAAAAGACCCTTGGATTTACTATATCATGTCTCACATTTGAAATTTTACATATGTGAACTAATATTGTGGCTGAGGCAGTATGAATAATATGCTAAAGAATGAAAGGTAAACCATTTACACATAATTCAGTACTGCGCTTTTCCCCCAGTACTGAAAATCATTTATACTATTTTTATAGTTCAGATGAGCCTCTTTATGAATCAAGTGAGGTGACTGGAAAAAGAAAATGTCTTACACTTTGAGAAAGTTTTATGATTCTAACATATTAGAAATTCTTTACCCTAACATATTACTTGTATATAAAACTGGTAAAAATAAAACGAAATTCGTATAGTGATACTGTTGCTGTAGTGTCCATTATTTGACTCAGCAGGTGATTTTGGGTAAGCCTGCAAGTCATTTTCTGAGATACCTTTTCTCAGTAGGAAAAGTAATATGCTAGTATGCAGATTAATCATTTATTGTATCTGATAATTTTGCTTGAAAATCTGCCCGAATCAGTGGGTATACACTTGAAGGTATATACATGTTTGGGTGAGTTTAAAAAGTGTTAGGAAACATAGTATCTATTTTCAAGTTGCTCACCACATAGTTTTCTATAGGGATGATATTTAAAATGTGTAACAATTAGTAAAGAATAGGCACCAACCAATTAAAACGGGAGTGACTAATAAGAGCTGGGTCCTAAGGGCTCTATCTTAGCCAGGTATTAACCCACTAGTTCCTAAAATGTGGAGGTCTGGGGAATCTTGAGAGGAAGGACTGGCATAGGGGTGAGAAGCATGGGGGTATACCACTCAGAGTTGCAGCTGTGAATCAACTTGCATGGAAGTATTTCAGTATTTGATTAGTTGGTTCAGCCGTACTTGTGTGTACCAGCTGAACATTATCCTTGTATATCCATAACTAAAAAAGCAGTGTAGGTGCCCTAAAATATAAGGAATGCAAGTGATATATCTTATTGATATTTGAAAGAAAGGTTATGTGTGTTTTAAGGGTGTCGATAATAATGTGCTCAATAAAATAATTATGAGTCATAAACTATCAAGCTAATTTGGAAGCTGCTTATACTTTTCACACAAAGGATGTACTATCATGATTTTATGAACTTTAAGGACTTTAGTTCTAGGATGAACCTTAGAATATATTTAAAACAATCCCCTTAATCTATCAATGAATCTGAGGACCACAGCCGTTGTCTCACATTTAGTGGCAATGGTGAGACTTGAAACTAGGACTCAGGCTTAATCTCTTTCCTCCACACGTCAGCACTTCTCCCTTTGTAAGCAGAAGTGAGGTTCATGCCCTGGCTTTGAAACAAGGAAAAGGGCATATGAGTAGTTCAGTGTTCTGAACTACGCATGGCAATCAGTAGGCATTTATTAAGCACGATTTTCGTTGTTTTGATATGTTTTGTAGAGATACAAAACAAAAAATAATCTTCTCTCATGAAGGTATAATATGCAGGTTAGCGGGACTACCTAGCCGTCCATACTGAATGGGTTTGGAAATCACAACTCTTCTCTCTACCTGCTCTGTGATACCAGGCAAGTTAAAGATTTGTGTGCCTCAGTTTCCTACCTCACTGTATTATGGGGATTAAATTTATATATATGTAAAACACTTGGGGAGTACTTGACACATAGTGAAGCCTGCGATTACTGCTGTTCATGGTTTTATGTTCTCTACTAGACACCAGTAAGGCACCCCCATGACTCGCTCTATTAAGTAGATTCTGGTTGGATATAGAAACCCAGGCACCCCAGGCGGAATGCAGATAAGCCTCAACATGTGGATTAAGAGCCAGGAAGCAGAGTAATGAAGCAAAAGATGTCCAGAGTCACCTTTTAAGAAAATGTGGGTTGGTGGTTGCTTAAGAGGGGAGGAGACAATTTAGATGAGAGGTATGGTGCGAGCAAAGGGCAAGAATGAGCACGGTGTAGGCACAAGTCCATGGAACTGCTTGGCCAGATCGGGATTTTTTTTCTCATAGAGTGTTAAGAAATAATCAATCAATTGAGGAGTAGAGGGGTGAAGACCTTGGAAAGTTACCAAAAGCCTCGAGAATTTGTCTAAATGCGTGACATGTTCTCAGGACTCAACTCTTTCTTTCAGGCTTGGAAGACCCGCAGTAAGTGTGGTCTAGAATTAAATGGGTGGGAGGGGAGCTAGGCAAAACACCTCGCACTTAGCACTAAATAAAGTTCGCTGTCGCCCTAAGAGATTGAAAAGGTTTCTTTAACAAAGGGGGCGGGATTAACTTAACGTAGATGTTTAACTCGTATACAGATGAACATTCCAGATGCTCACTCTGAAGCTTTTTGGCTACAGCATTTGGGTTTAGAGCTTCCATTACTCATCCGACTCGCCCAAGGCCTCAGCAACCGACGTTCTAAAGCCAGGAGAAAAGGCGAATGATAAAGGGCGCTCCACGCATGCGTTAAGAAGCTGCCCCAACTCCCCCGCGGCGTTCTTTCTTGGAACAAAACTAGCGCGGAGACACGGAACTCCGCAGTTTGCGTATACTTGAATTTCCTATTGCTCGGACGATCCATGTGGAATCCGTGAGTAGTGCCGCTCCTTTACGCAACTGGCGTTATCCGAAGTGAATAGCTAGGTGGCGCGTGTACGCCCATAGCGTAGCACCCATAGGCGGACGGGGTGCGGCTGCGCAGGGAGCTGAGTGGCCCTTGTACGCCGCTAGCGTAGCAGGGTGTCTGACGCGCGGGTTTCTGCGACGCAGTTAGCGCAGTCGGCTTTGGTGAATACACGATTTGGTGCAGCCGGGGTTTGGTACCGAGCGGAGAGGAGATGCACACGGCACTCGAGTGTGAGGTAACTATAAAACCCCGATTTGTTTACATTCCCTCCCCCAGAACCGGCCCCGTGCGCGGCGGAGACTGCGAGTCCCGGGACGGCGCGGGGGTAGAAAGGGAGAACAGAACCGGGGAGTCGGGGCTGGGTCCCTCGGGGATGCGGGCGCTGGGGTTCCGCGGCTGCTGCAGTCGGCGGCGGCGAGCCGAAGCAGAGCGCGTGGTGGGCAGCGTGTTGGGCGCCTCGGCTCCTCGTGTGCGGTCTGGGCTGCTGCGGGCCGCGGGATCGGGAGCCGGCGGCGTCCACTCCGCGTGCGGAGCCTGGCGCCCCCCTCACCCTCCTGTGGAGGTTGGCTGAGCCTCGCGGGCCGCGCCCGGGGTGGGGGAGTGACCGCTGGGCGGGCGGCGGCGGTTAGGGGGCTGCGCGCCGGCTGCGGATGGCGTCGCCGGCGCGAGCGGGCGAGGCTTTGGGGATCTGTAGGCAGGTCTTCGGGGGCTTGGCGACCAAGCGACCCGGTTTCTTCCTGTCCAGTCGTTCTCTCTAGTGTATAATGGGGCCAGGGGACCCCGGGATGGAGCCTCGGCGCCGCTGTTCCGGACCGAGGCTAACGGACGGCGGCGCCTCTGCTCCTACTAGTTTTCTCCCGGACCAACCGAAAAGCCGAGGCGGAGCGCGGGGTAGTGAAGATCTCGGCCTGTTGGGGGTCCCTGGAGCTGAGGGCAAGGGTGGGGCCGGGTCGGTGGGACAGGCCGGGTGGGCCGGAGGTGTCGCGGCAGCCCGGCTTTGTTCCGGAAAGCCCTTAGGTGGAGAGCGATGTGGGGCGCGGCAGGGGGAGCGTGTAGAGGAACCTTCGCGCACAGCGTCTCCGGGTCTGGAAATCTGCTGAACTCCTTGTCTCTCTTGGGGTCCCCCGAACGCCCCAGCTAAGAAGGGCGGGGGGCCTTGCCAGGGCAGGAGCGACATGACGTTCAAGGTCTTCCTGTGGCTTCTGTAAAGAAATGTTCACGTGGGAGCTTGTCCACATGGGCTGTACTAAGGATCTGGCACGAGGAAGAAATATCACTGCAGAATCTGAAGCCCTCCGTTGGAAGGGTCGTTCTCTCGAGTACCTATTCTAAATGACAGTGACACAAAACACATGTTAGAAAAAAGCAAAAAGGATGGTAGGTTATACTGGTTTTTTTAAAAAAACTTTTATTTATGCTTTTTGCTGTTAAGTCCTCTTAATTTCACATTGGAACTGAGTCATTTTTGGAGCAAAACTAGAGTGTAATAGATTTACATTTCCTTTGTGTTTTCTTTTTCGATATGTTATCTAAATTGCACGTAATTAAGAACAAGCAAGTAATGGAAAAGCTGGAGATGTAGAATTTAGTTCCTTCTAACTTAGTATGCAATTGAAAGCCTCAACTCGAGACTCCTGTGTATTGTTTTATATTAGGACTCGTACAAATATTTGAGAACCTTAATATGAGTCAGTTACTTTTTCTAGATCTTGGGGATCCATGCCAGACAACGCACATTCTACAGACACTGGTTACTCCAGTGGCTCCTTACTGGAAACAGATACATAATATCAGTGATAAGTGCTGTGAAGAAAATAAAACGATGTGCTGGTAGGGATTTTTAACTTTTTTGTGTGATGAACCACAGAATGATGGTTTTAAATGTATGAAATACATAGAATTGCAACAAAAACCAGTTGTAATGAAATACTTAATGAAGATATTAAATATGACATCTATGTGTCAGTAAAGCATTAGCGAGGACTGTAAATGATCTTTAAAGAGTTTAGCTTAAATTTAATCTAAAATTCCTATCAGGTATTTCACATCGCTGTAATTTTTGCCTGCATTCGTAACTGAAGAGATTAAATTTTTTTTTATCTTTTATAAAAAAAAAATAAATCTTTTTTTTTTTTCCCTGACCACATTCACAAACATTCTGCGTTCTGTACATATACCCCTGGATAAGAACCCCTGTGCAAGAATGACTTTGGTGCTACTTCAAAAGGAGTGGTTAGGGAAGACCTCATAGGAAATGACATCAATAATATATTGCATGATAACCTATACTAGTTCTTACTGTTACCAATTTAAATTCTAACCGCTTGAAAGCTAACACGGTCCTTCCCTTTTTTTGAGCACCTGATTTGAAGTACTTTGAGTAGGCCTCAAGTGTAGTATGCAAGTACTCATTAGGGGGTGTGCCTTTTTTCAAAAGTGATTTTTGGAGAAGATAGGATGTAGTATTATAGCAAGGATAATTCAGCATCTGGGATGATCATTTGTTTCTGATTAGAGAAATTTACGTTGTTAATACTCTGTTCACCCAACCCTTCTACCCTCACTGTTGACCAATACTGGAAAAAATTTAAGGCTTTGGAGTTAAATTTTAAAGGTTCAAAACCTTGATCTGTTAATTAGTTGGCTTACCTTGAGGAAGTTGCTAATCTTAACTTTCTGTTTGAACTTCAAGTACAAAAACCCTACTCACAGACTTAATTGTGACCATTAAATGAAATAACCAAAAGGCTGAAGATGATAGTGAATTGATTTTACCTTTTTTCTACATACAGACGTTTCAGTTCTTTCATTAGTGGTTGAAGCACTGTGTTCTTTTTCTTCCTCCACCCCCTCCTTGACTACCTCCAGAATGAGCCTTGATGGTCTCCACTGGGCCTTTGGGGGGGTGGGGGGGCGGGGATACAGTTATCCTGTTGTTTTTGCTCTGTTCCTTATATATAATACTCATGGATTTATTTCTGCTTCTCTTCCATTTTCTAATTTATAATAACCTGTGCATCTTGTTTTCCCTGCCAAACTGAATTTCTTGAGGGAGTACATACTGCACAGTTTTTTTGTCACATACTGCTTATGACACATGAATATGCAGAGCTTGTCATGCTCTTTAAGTTTAAAATGCTAATTGAGTGAATCAAAACTTAAATTCACCATTATGGTTAGGCTAAAAATGTCAGCTTGTATTTATATAGTGCTTACCGCAGTATTGGAAATACCATGAGTTTTGTATCAGAAGGACGTTATTTCTAGTGCATTTTAAAGTGATACTCACCAGTCATAGTTGCAAAAGTAAGTACACAATGGAAAATGGAAGAGAAATGTAGGCAGTCAAAACAAAACTAGTTTTTTCCTTTATAACAGAAGTTTTATTAATTCATCTTTCATGTAAGTGTAGTTCTCATTAAAAATGCCCTAAAGCTTAAAGTTTGCAAGGCTGCCCAGCCTAACCCACAACAGTTTGATGCTGCCCCCTAGCGTTTGATTCCCTTCACCTTTTCCTAAAATAAGATAATGTTTAAATTACAATTAGATTTACTTAGTGCTATAAATTTGGTCTATTTTAAAGTTTCCTCCGTCTAGTTAGTGTTGCTAATAAGATGGACATAAGTGTTTTTTAACTGGTTAATTCTGATTGCTTTTCGCCTCCAGTTTTCCAAATGGGGATGAATTTTGGGTAAAGATAGAACAATCACGAAGTTACCTTGCTCCAAAAAAGAAATTTATGTATGGGATTGTTTTCAAAGCAGGAAGTTAGCCGTGTAAATAACAGCAATTTTATTTATTTAATCTGGGCTTCTCCTTGCATGATATAAAAATCTACTTTCTAGATTAATTTAGTTCCGTATAACTTTGTATGGCTTTGACTGAACTAATAAAGTTTGAAAGTGTTAAATTTACATTGTGAGCTTTTTTTAAAATTTGAATTTATTTCGTACTATGACTTTTATAGAATAATTCTTAAAAACTAGTTTCAAATTTCAAGGACCTCTTAGTAGCCACAAGATTTCCTTTTTTATATCATTAATATTTTATATGAATGCTGTAATGAAATCCAAGTATTCATTTTACATGCAGATATATACCACAATATACCACTACACAAAGGCAATGAACACATGACATTCTACAAAATCTACAGAAAGGGTTTTCTATAGTCAGTGCAAACCCTAAGGTTTTAGGTTTTATTCAGATTATTGCAGTATCAGTATATCAAACTCTCTTTTTCTTTTTATTATCCTCTGTAAGTTCTATGGGTAGACCACAGGATAACTTTTAGCTTTTTCTAAAATACCCAAACATATTCTCAATAAAAAATTATTGGAATACTTAAAAGTATATTTAGTAGGTATGAAGAAATATAGAACCAAAATTACATTTTTAAATAATAGTATGTATTTATTTAAATAGAGACAAGGGTCTTGCCATATTGTCCAGGCTGGTCACAAATTCTTGGGCTCAGGCAGTCCTCCCATCTTTGCCTCCCAAAGTGCTGGGATTACAGGCATGAGCCACCGTGCCCAGCCAGTAATACTAAATTATTTCCAAATTGACTGCTTAGGAGACCACATGCAATGTTCAGACGTGTTAAAACAGGACACAATTCATTGTATCACATCAGTAATTCTATGTCGAATACTATTTTTCTATCAGAACGTAAGGGTATTTTTGGATTGCCAGATACAAGGAATGGATATTTAATAGATTTTTACTGGTAGATTTTTTTACGTTAAAAGGTGTTAGAATAGGATGCTACTGGTGATACAGGTTTGCAGGCTTATACAAGTATAAGGACAAAATCTAAAATCTTGTTCAGGTAGTGTTTTCACAATCTAAAAGTAAATATTTTGTCTTTACCTACTTTTGTAATCATATTTTATAATTATTTTTAGATACTGCTGAAAGGGAGATATCAGATAATATCCTTGTATTAATATTTCTAATCAATTTTACCCTTTTATATACTCTACTTTGGGGGACTACCCATCCCATTAAGATTTTTAGGGATTAGAAAAGTAAAAATGTTGTAGGATGTATCCTTATATCATTGTGTTCTTTCGTAGGATGAGAAGTATTGTTATGAGAACTGTGAACTATGAAGGAGGTTAATTTTAATCCTCTATAATTAAGATTTAATCAGTGATCACTTTAGGTTTTAGATTTTCATTGAATAAAGGAAGAAAAACCTCAATCACTTTTAGTATAGTAAGAAGATCCCAAAGGTATGTATCCTACTGTGGTGTTCCTTTTTTTTTTTTTTTTTTTTTTTAACACATACTCGCATGCACACACATGTTCTTTTAATAGTTTTTTTTTTTTTTTTTTTTGAGACTGTGTGTCTGTTCCCCAAGCTGGAGTACAGTGGTGAGATCAGAGCTCACTGCAGCCCTGACCTCCTGGGCTCGGGTCATCCTCCTACTTCAGCCTTCCTAGTAGCTGGGAATACAGGAGCGTGTGCCACCATGCCTAGCTAATTTTTTGTTTTTTGTTTTTTTTTTTTGTAGAGATAGAGTTTCACCATGTTGTCCAGGCTGGTCTCAAACTCTT